CCGAAATCAGCCAAGGAAAGTTAATTGTCTTGTAAAAAAAAAAAAACGAGAATAAAACGACAATACTATCCTGTTTGCGAATTTGTTTTGCAGAGCATATTGCGTGCATAGTGTGTACTGTCGCGATAACTGAGAAGCATGCTTAGATTCTAGCCGGCCGCTGGCCATAAGAGTCAAATAATGTGTTTTTTTTTTTTTGTAATAGTTTTTCTGAATTTACATCAACTTTGATATTCCGAATGAATAATCACAAGAAGAAAAATAATCTAATCATCATTTTTCACGTCACGCAAACCCTAAAAAAAAAAGTAAAATAATTTATGACTTGTAACGTTGCCGGTATGTCGCTCAAAGATTGGATTAGATTACTTTTTTGCAAATACTTCCGTGTTAATCAAGTGAGTGACATCTTCCTGCTGTTGCCAATTGTAAAGCAAAGAAAAAAAGAAAAATTCAAAACCATTTTAAAAAGAAAGCGAAAGCGAAAGCGATAGTCATATTTACCTCACAGGTGTGTAATAGATAGACCTTTTAAATGCAACATAAACTAAATTGAAGGATATGGACTGTGGACTGTTTCGAGATAATTGCATAAAGAGAAAAGTTTATAAACAAAAATGTTGTCACTTGAAACGAATTATATACTTAATGGACAATAACATATCGGTTTTAATCAAAGTTAACCATAACAACAGATCACAAATTGCTATGAAATCTCATAACAATTTAATAATGAATATATTAAATAATCTATGGCTATCGCTTCTATCTATTATTGCGGTAATAAAAAGGAAAAATAATTTAAAAAAAAGAAAAAATGCTTTCTATTGAATTCTTCAAGATTTTAAGAAAGTAAAACTCAAAGGAGCCAATTAAATAACAATCACTCAATAACAATATATTGTTGTTGACGTTTTATAGAAGTAAATAAAGAAAACATAAAATTTTTGCAAATATTTTTGTATTTTTATCGTTATAAAATTCCAAAGAAAAATAGAAATCTGGTATTGCGTCACGAAGATTAAATGACAGCAAGAAATGAACAACATTTTGTATTCAATTAAAGCTAAAGTAAGGGGGAAGGAATAAACGGATAGGAAGGAAGGAATGGCCAGTTGATAGTAAGAAATTCTTCAAACATTATAATGAAAAATCAATTTCCAATAGCCATAAAAAGCAAGCGAAGGTTACCGCTCCATAGTTTAAGTGACGAAAGTCGCAATCATTTGCTTGCCTTTGCCTATCCAATCAAGTACAATTCAAAGGCAAAGCAAGTACAATTTGTTGTCGAGTACAACAACAGACGAATCTAGTTTCGTTCCACCCTCTCGCATTTTGTTATCACTTTCGTTCACCTACATAATTGATAGGTATAGATGTAATTGAAAGAGAAAGGACATCAAAAATTGCTTTACTAAATCATATCAGAATTTTTTAATTCAATTACTCAACTCGAAGAAAAGATATCTAAGAAAATGCATTTAATTCAAATCGATTTTCATACTTGCCGTATTATAACAGAGTCATTGTTTTTAAAATATTTTTCAGCTTTCAATAAAAATCTTTATAATTGCATTATATAAATATATATATGTATATATAACTTTCAATAGCTGTTCTAATATTTAGTAAAAAGAGAGAAAGAAAATGTAATAAATAGAAAAAAAATTTATTAGAATTCGCCTTAGGGCAAATTTCATATACTCGTTACTTCCAAGCGATTATATCAAAGTGAGACAAAATTTATTCCATTGCGTTGCAATTGGGATGAGATTTTAGCGATCATTTCGATCATCCTGATGAATACTTTGCAACGGTAAATTGCAATATAGTAATATCCTGAAATATTCATTTTTTTTTTTTTTTTTAAATTTCAAAATCTTAGGGAGTGTTGTAAATTGCTTGAGCGGTCACGCCCATTTTTTAAGTTGATTTACGAACATAAGTTTCTGACTTGTAGACAGTAAAAGGACGGATAGACAGACTATATTAAATTGTTATGTAATTTTGTAAGCTTTAATTTAAGATAACTCAGTCAATGGTCAGACAATCCCTGACTGACCCTGACTAACCCTGACTGACTTACCGAATAAACAAATAAATTTTTGGGGATTTATTCATATCGAGAGTGATGAGTATAGGCTATTAACATATCTATGCACGTTCGTGTGGGAGTGTGTGTATGTGTATGTTTACAAAAAACTTATCACAAAATTTATTGGGCGGAATTTTAGCGTGTGTTTTTTATTTATTTTTTTTAATATATACATAAACAAAAAAAATAAATAATTAAAAATAAATAAAACATATAAAATGGTTTACCCTTTTTCGATTGTTTTTTTTTTTTGCTTTGTTTTTTTGTTTTTTTTTTTAAATAAACGTAATATTTATTAAAAGTAATGCATTGTTTAAGCATACAATTTTTGAATAAATCCTGCTTTAATGTTAATAATTAAAAAAGCTTTTAATGTTTTTTTTTTCTTTCTTTCATTTAAACTCGAAGCTTTTTCAAATATTAAAGAAAAATTTTTTGTTTGTTTTTTTTTTTGTTTTTTCATCAAAAAAAAAGGGACATTTTTTCCACAAAATACTGCCGAAATTAGGAGAGTAAATGATGAGATAAAACCTTTTGTAGATAAATGTCCCCTTTTTCTTAACATCTTAATATAAATATAATCTACAAATATTGTGTTTTCTTGTTTTTTCGCAAATATTAAGTTGTTTTAAAAGCTCGTAGCGTTTATATTTTTGCCTTTATGCACCGCCCAAAACTTATCATCATTTCCAGGCAAAATATTATAATGCGGGATTTGTAAAACGGAGTTTCTAGGCTACTAAAACCGACCAGAAATGTATGAAAAAAATTATGTTGCTCTCTAGAAAACAATTTCGACTTTGTCCGCCCAGCACTTGGTTCCAGTTAATTTCTGTCAGTGCCTTTAAAAAAAAAAAAAAAATAAAAATAATTGACCATCAAATGTCTTGAGAGCACATTTAGCGTTGGAACAATAAATGTCCCGGTTATTGGGTAACTGTCAGTTAATTTCAATTCAAAAGCTAAGATCTTGCAAGCGACAGAACGAATAAAGCTATTGAGGGATATTGAGACGGCTAGCTCTGCTCATTTTCAGACAATTCCTGTACGAAAGTTTACCTAATGCCAGCCATTGAAGTCTTCGAGAAATGTCAAGAGAAGAGGTATAAAGTATTATTTTTCTAACACACAATCAATGTCTCGGT